CTCAGTATAAATAACTTCATTTATAGCTTCTTGACGCTTTTTTTCCGTCTCAGAAACTGAGTTAGCAATTTCAGGAAGAACAGTATGAATCCATAATTTTCGATCCTATTAAAATTAATTTATTTTAACGAGTTAATGACAAGATATCTTATCATAAATAAGAATAAAACGTGTGAAATAAATACGTGAATAAGCAAGTATAAATACCTTTTTGTCTGAAAGAGAACCACGGCTAGAACTACGTTTAAGGCTAGCAGTTGGCTTCGTCTTACGTACAGACTATATTTGCACATTAATAAAAAAAATATATATACAGTAAATCACGATCTGATTCATATGAAGGAGAACGAAATTATAATATACCTACTTGCTCCAACCTTCTAGGACAAATAATACTATAACATAAATTATCTCTGGTACATGTAGGGGAATAACAATCGGTCAACAAAGTAAAAACACCATTTGGTAAATCACTTTCTTCAGCATCAGCAGCATCATCTTCAGTATTATCTTCCTTTCCATACTCGACATGATCATAATTATCGGACGATAATATTGATGGCATTTTTTTGAATTGATATAATTCATGTGAAGAGTCACGAAGTCTATGATCATATGTCACATCATGGAAAAATTTTTGAGCATCTAGAGCTCGACCAAGCAATAAAGCCAAATTCCTATCCGTAGTTTTGATTATAAATGCGATCTTATCCTTTTGATACATAATTAAAAATTAAAGTAAATATATAAATTTATTATTATTTTCACAAAAATTATAATCTAAATTAGATTCAGATGTAGTAACAAAATGAACTAAATATCAGCAAAGCCATACCACAGCTTCTCTCCCATCGAAGCAATCTTTATATTCGAGGTTATCTTTCATTCTATTTGTAAGAATCATTCTAGAACGAAATGCATCGGCAACCTTTGAAAGTAAAGCAGGGTAAACAATTGGAGCATGCTGTTTTCCTATGTAAGAAGAGGGAGATGAAGGAGCGCTTGATGCATCTGAACCAGCAGATGGTGGTGATGGCTCAGAGTATGACAATGAACGAATGCGTTCAGAATGATAAGTTGAATGATAATTTTGTGATTTATTACGAAGGTTTTCCATTGATTTTCGAAAAGGGGGAATGTATTCTTCGGAGTAGTTTGGGATAAGATTTGAGGCAGTGGCGCTAGTACCTATTGAAAAGGTCATCGATAATATTTGTGAATTCATCTATGTATTTTATTATATTTTATGAATTATATTAAACCTCAGAAATGATAATAAAGAATAAGATAAAACATGTACACGATAATAATTTTAAATGCGTAAAAAAAAAAAAAAAAAAAAAAACAAAAAA